TCGAAAGCCACTGTCCCTTTTTTGCGAAAGGGAAACCTCGACAGATATTCGACAGATATCTGTAACGTAATATCTCGGTATATTCTAAAAAATCTAGGAACCGAGATTAACATAAAAAGATTTCATTACATTTTTATGCATTTCTCGATGTTTACGTGTCTTTTTTCTCTTGTTTTTTACGTGTAAAATTATTTTCCTCTCGCATTCACGTAGGAGAAATTTGATTTGCTCCTTAATTATTAAGATAATAAACTTAAACCGATATCGAAGAAAGAAATCACACCAAACGATGAATCTTTGTCCAACTTTCCAGGAAAAGTCTACTTGTCTACTTCATCGGGGTGAGGAGAACGCGATAATTTCCAAATCTGGTATCATTCGTTATCCTATAGGGATCCTTACAATGCACAATACAACTACATTACCTCATTTAATCTTGCTGTTGCGCGTGAATATGTATCAATAGCAATAGCAGAGAACCGCGCGCTCGCGCGCGATCTTCTAGCCGACGGTCTTTTCTCAGGCTTGCTCTTTCCTGGGAAAGGAGTTAATGCATTTCATTAATCACGAGGAGGACGACCTTTTCTACCCTCTGCCCTCTTTACACCATCCCCATCTCCCCACTTCGATTCACCGCCGCAAACGATACGAAGCAGTTGATATTCTCCCTCATTTCCGCCGCCTCGTTATTGTTATTTGTCATCTCACCAGATTTCTTTCCTCCTTTGTTCCTCGGCTATCATTTATTTATCCCTATCCTTGGCACGGTCACGTTTGCTGAAGTAAAATCAGGGCACAACGATAAATAAAAATGAAGTGCACGCACTGCATGAACGTGAGCGTAAATATATATATATATATATATATGTTATGTATATATTTAAAGGTGCGTACACATGCCTGAACGTAGCCCATACGAATTTACACGAAGGGCAAAAAAGAGAACTAAATGTGAATGAGAGTGGTAAGTCAAAAGAGGGTTAGTTGACAGTGAAAGAGAAGATGTGGAGAGAGAGAGAGAGGGGAGGGAAGCAGAAGAAGTGGAATGGAGAAGGGCAAGAGAGTAAAAGGGGATGAAGAAAAAAGGAAATGTGGAAAGGGGCGAAAAAGGAAGAAAGAGCGAGAAGGAAGGGAGGAAAAAGAGAGAGAGAGAGAGAGAGAGAGAGAGAGAGAGAGAGAGAGATTACTTCAGACACAGTTTGACAGTTCTTAATTTTTGTCCTCGGAATTTCTGAGTGACGGCATTCTAAGAATATCTTTCGGTGAGAGAAGACGGAGAGGTTGGCTTGGTTCGATGAGAAAGACAAGCAACGTCCCTCGACACACGGAGTAGATCGTTCTCTGTGCGAAGCAAACGGCAGCTCCCTTGTGTCGGATCTGCCATTTGTGAACGCGTTCGCCCATCTTTAATGTCACGGACTCAATACGAGAAATAGACGGCTCTTATATAGCGACATTTTGATGAAGCGGTTGCTTCGCGGTTACCAGCGACGAGTGCCATAAACGAAATAATCGCTGTGTTACGTTGCTTCAAATGGACTCGTTACAGTGATTAAATGCACTCAAAGTACTTCCTGTTGTATCGCGAGGCAACTCGTTCCATATCTGCGAGCTTTCAAATTTGTCGGCTATTGTCGTTTATGGTTGATACTTTAATTCCGTTAATTTTTCTATTTACGAGAGATCACTGACTTTTGAAGTGTTTCTTTGCTCTTACTTTTCTTACTTCTTGCTCTGTACTTTGATTTGTAGGAACAGGATGTTAATTTGCAAGATGTCAAATGTAGATAGGACTTAATTTGTGATTTATATTTTTGTACCAAATTTTATGCATACATTGCATATGCGGTAGTTTAACTCTTTCCTGTCGGAGTCCGAGAATTTCCCTTCAAGATATTTTTACTCTTGCGGCCGAAGGCCGAAAATCTCCTGTCATTGATACTCGACTGTTTTATCGACTATGGCCATTTGGTTTCAGCTATTTTATAAAATACGAACTTGTCAAGATGGCAGCTCATACTTCTTGCTAAATATTATTATGTTCATACCAAAGTCTATTGTAAATAAGAAGTGTTTATAATAAAATTGCGAAGAAAATATTTCTGGACTCCTGTTGTATGATCTTTCCTTCCATCCTTATAATGTGCAAAATATGCTCTTAAAGAGAGAGTTTGGCCATCTATTTCTAAAACACATTATATATATATATATATATATTTATATATATTTATATACATATAATGTATAAAATTATATACATTATCACATATGCATGCATATGTGATAAATCTAACTATATTCCATAGAATGCACGTAGATCGTGGATTTTGTACATTAGCGAACGGAGGTTCATTCGCGCGCTTGTGTGAACGTCACAGACTCTCGATGCGAGAAATAGATGCATAGGATACAGTGTCGTGACGGAGTTCGTGTTTATATGTTAGGCTATGTAGGATGGCGCTATCGTGGGTTATACGTATCCCTTTATTTGTAGATAAACTCGCACAAGCGTGTGTACAGACGGTTCAGCCCACATTCATCTCGTCCACGAACGAGATTCGCGTAATCTTATGTACACCGAAAGATACACCACGACACAGATACACACGTACACGCGCGATGTACCGGCGAGTGGTACGTAGACTATCAACAGCGCGGGCGCGCGTTATTCCGTACCTGGGAATACTAAAGAGTAATTCCTAATTGAATGGCTTATTTTGTACTCGGTGCACGAGAATATCGCGAGATTAATTTTGCGAAAGAGCGCGCGAGACCACGCGCAAAGGAAATACTTTTGTGTACATACACCCCGAGGTATCCATTACGGCTCTCGTGATATCTTATCTTCTCGTTCATTTCGAGTGGACTTTGATTCGGTAGAATCTTCATCAATCGAGGTGTACGATGGACACGATTCGTCCTACATTTGATCCAATGAGAACAAATCCAAAAGATGTTTATCCTGTTTGATTGACACTGAGAAAAGGGATCGCTTGTATTGACATGTGACAATGAACATGATACAGTGAGACAGTGAATACCAAACACGTTTTGTTTGAAGGAAATAAAATTTATGGTTCTTTCAAGTATTAGAAATTCTATTTTTTTTTCAATCCCAAAACACGTTTGGTTCGTTTATTGTCATGATGATTCCATTCAATTCAATCTTTTGTTTTTATATAGATAGGAAAAGATAAGAATTTTTTTGGGTTTGTTCCATTAAATTAAATGAGGGATAAATCGCTGTTTACAAATGTACACTCCATTATCGATATACGCGATCGAAAGGAGCGGATTCTATGCGAAGACATCGTTCGGAATTGTAAACGAGGTGAAGAGTTTTCCTTCAACACGAAGCTTCGCGTAAAAGCGCGATGTCCGGTCGCATTTTTGTATTGAGAGGGGAGCAATTTGCAATTCGCCGATAAAGATTGTAACCACGCGAATGAGTACGCTCGCAATATTGTCGGGCATTTGAAACATAGTTTTTAATTCGGCTGGCACAAATGCTCACGGATTAAATCGAAGGTTTGTAACGGTGAAACCGCGTAGTAAGATATACTTCCTAGTATGCCCGATAAATACGATCCCCGGTGAGCGCTGGTGTGGGCGCGCGCGTGCACCGTTCTGAGTGAAAGATTTATTTTCGCCACACATTCTGAAATGATGACCTTTTACGCTGGATTTCGCCCCGCGCGCGTTACGTAGGAAAGATACAAATCACTACTGGACATTTGGCGGTTACGAACGGCGGCGCATCCTACCGTGTACACTCGAATCTATCGAGCGCTCTCCCTCTCTGTCTCTCTCTCTCTCTCTCTCTCTCTCTCTCTCCCCTCTCTCTTCAGAAGTAAATTTCGTCGACACATCTCGGACAGCGCGAGAGCGGTCTTTGAAAACGAGCGCGATGATACCGTCCGTCGATGTCGCGTTTTTATACGCAACAGAGAGACAGAATTAACCGTTTTGCCGTATTTAAATATAATTACGTCCGTGAATGGCAGCTTGCGATGAACACGAGAGCTCGTTCCCGTCGATAGAAAGTTGCACCGAGTGTACGCATAATGCATTAGATATACACGTGCCATTCCGCACGAAATGTAGATATTTGCGTAATGACGGCTTACAAGCAGCTTGCACATTGTTTGCTCTTGCAATTCTACTATTTGCCAACTTGTGCGATACATTTGCAACCGTCCGCGCTTGGCATCATGTCTCCTGCGAATATGCGGCATCAATGTGCATCCCGTTATCGTTGCGATGGTATTACAGTTTAAATTCAGCGCATTGTTGCTCCGAGAGGAAAGAGATCAGTTTCGATAGGAGGTATCATTAGTAGCAGGCAGATTATAACTACGCGATACCTGCGATTAAATAATCACGGGCAAATTTTATCCTTTAATTTTATCTTCAACCCCTTGTCCTATCCGTTAACTCCCGATCGCTCGGGCCACAATAAACAAGAAGGTCGGTCACGCGTCGAGCCATTTAGCTGTTTAGCCGTGTGCTCGAACTTGCGCAAAATGTATGCGTCTTATGACATGTATATTTCAGCGCAACGAAAGGAATTATCATCGATATTAGATTTTCTTTTTACTGACACGATAGGTATAAGGGTTGTTTAATTCTTTTAGGGAATTATAACCTAAACGTGTGAACGTAACGAAAAATTACGCGGAACTAAAGTAAGATAATATCGAGAACAACTGAACCACGAGTCTGACTCGTGTTGTTTTGTCCCGAATGAAGTACCACGAGCCAGGCTCGTGTTGTTTACGTTTGGTCCGAACGAAGTACCACGAGTCAGGCTCGTGCTCATTGCTTTTGGCCCAAATATCTTACCACGAGTCTCACTCGTTGTTGGGTAGGACAAGGGGTTAAAGTCCTTTGTCCAGAAAGAGAGAAAGAGAAATAACATGACAATTAAACCTATATGTCAACGTGTGTGCTCGAGAAGGAAGTTCCGACGTGTGATCGGTGTGAACATTTCGTTTTTTCAGGGGATACCGCACCTGTGCGCTATCTGTCCGTGAAAGGCCTTCTCCCAGATACAACCGGTTACATGACTTACGAGGGCAGCACGACGCATCCTGGTTGTTGGGAGACGGCAGTCTGGTTGATTCTCAATAAACCGATTTACATTACGGCGAAAGAGGTAACTATATATACAGAGGAAATTTGTTTATAATAATATATTATATTCTGTATCACTCCTAACTGTAGTATATTCGTACCGAAGTTTAAATTCATATTGCATTGCATTGCATTGCATTCATTGCAATAATTAATGAACAATTCGTTCGTCGATTTCCAACGAGCAGCGCTAATCGAGGTGGTAAGGCGATTGGTTGGTATGCTGGAACTCTATTATTACGGGTTCAGAATCATGCTTTTATCATTTTTTTTATTAATCTGCAATAAAGCGTAACATTGTACAATATATTATATTATATATATTTTTATTATTGAAAAGAAAAAATAATTTATTTTGCTTACGTAACATTTATTTGCAATGTTTTTCACTAACGGTCCTGATACTAGACTCTTGCATTTTTTAAAATCGTTTTTTATACTATTCTCTACGCTGCGAATATTAGCTCTTGCTTTATTTAAAGACAACTAATGGTCTAACATATTTTATTTCCAGTAGGCTCACAAACAAAACAAATTCGCAGTTAGATATGCAACGGAACAACATAATAACGGATTTCCTCATCAACAAGAATATTTTCCAGATTAGAAATCCGTTGATATAAACACAATATGTAGGAATAAAAGTGTGACAAAAGTGGAAAATAAGCTAAAAATCTATTGCATGGCAAATAAATGTTATATAAACAAAATAAATTATTTTTTATTATATTTTCAACAACACAGATATACTGCATAATATTGCGCTTTATTGCAGATTAAAGAAAAAGTGAAAAAAATATGATTCTAATCCGTAACATGTAGAATCTCAGCATACCAATATGGATCTCTTATTTTCGGCTACTTCACAAATAATTGAGTTTCGTCGAAATCGGAGACGCATACTTCACGGATGTTTCTTGTTAGTATCTATTTTCCACATTTCTATCAAAATAACTATCCGATCGGAAATCTGAAAAATTAAAGAAGCATCTATTGCGATCGAATCGCTGAAATTTTTATCGATGGCATTTCATGCCGACGTTAAAACAGACAGACAGATGCGAATAGATAATAGACAAATATAAGACTCGCGGAGGTGGTACTGATCGCAAACAAATCATCATATTCGTGATATACTGTTTCTGTCTATTAGCTGTACGCCCTAAGGAGATTAATGCAAGGTCCTTCCAGTACTCCGAAAGCACCTCTCGGTAATAATTCCAGACCGCTGCAGGGTCTTCATTATAGAACTGTGCGAACAAATATCGATTTTGCGAAGGTAATAATACAACGCTACGATTGTGTCGTTTGATTCGTCGCGCGAAGAATACAGGGTCAATCAAGGTAATTGACATTCCGTATTAAGTGTGACAGGTTTGCAGTATATATTTGCAACTCCGCTTGGAGAGAGAATTCTAAGCAGGAAGGAGCGAAAAAGAGACTCGTTTTATGGGATATTTCACTGAAGATAAATCGTTAACTGAAAATAAATAAATAACGTTAGTTAGTACACGTTGAATTCATAAATAATAAACTGTAATTAACCGGCCTCTGTATAAATCCTAAATAAAGAGCCGCGACAGCGGTCGGCTGGCGCTGGCGACATCGCTATTGCTCGCACCCTGGCCGCTGATACAGTTATGTTGGACGAATTTCGCACATAGCGAGAAGCGAAGTAATTAAGTCCGTGCCAACGCGAATGGCTCATTACGAAATATTCGTGTCATAAATACCTCGATTGACCGTGAAGGATCAATTTCGCGCCGGAATCGTATCGATTTTCCGTTCCCTCTCCGCATACGACCGCAACTTCAATGAGCTTTCTCTGTTCGACAGCGAGGTAGCGCCAAGTGCCCGTCGATGGCGCAGGACATGCATTATAGAGGTAACACACGATATTAGCCAGGCTCCAGGAGCCCTCGAATTCCGTGTTTCACCACGAGGGAATCGTCTCGTTGAGAATCTGAAAAGATGACTTTTTTCTTCCAGCCAACACGTGGCGGGATGACAGCTCCCTATCGCACAACGTAGTCTGAAGACTGGCGACAGCGCGGAAGGACCACGAAAGAGAAGACTCTTTTCCAAAGGTGCGGGGACAAGGCGAGTGTTCGCGCGTAACGCGAGAGACGGAGACGGGCAGGGGCACGGTGAGAGAGAGAGAAAAGGAGCTGAAATCAAACGCAGGAGAATGCGGAATTCGTTCGACCAGGTGCTTCATTCACTTCGTGGCTGTGTGAGGAAAAGAAAAGAAAATATCGGATACGTTATATCCCGAACGCTTGTAAACCAAACGCGGAGTCTTTTGACAAGTTCCCTCCACCGTAGCAATTCGTGTGTCTCGGGACAAATGAGTGAGCGAGTTCACGTAACCGTCGCGTCGTGAAGGAAAGAAATTGTATGTTTAATTTGTAGGTAAGTTCGTCGCATCGCGATCGGCTTTCGGGCTTTACATGTCGGTTCGGAAGTTCGGAGATCGAAGTTGTGTTTAAAGTCACCGTGCCCCTCGCTGACGTGAGCGCGACATGAGCGACGGGAAAGGGAAAACGAGAGCTTCCCGGTGTCTCCCAATGTCTCTCGGGATCTCGTTTAAGCTTTCGCTGAGTTCGCGCTTTGAGAAATCTAACGATTATCAGGGATCGGCGTAATCTAAAATAATATACATACGTATTACGATTAACCGCGGCATAATTTTGTAAAACGGACAATAGCATTTTCAGCCGACGAATGATTCCTATAGCGAAGAGAGCTAGGCGTTGTCTCTTGAGGTGAAGCCACTCTTTTCTAAGAGTGTCTCTTGCCTGTTGCCGATAATAATCGCTTGCTCGCGCACGCGCACGATCGTTTTGTTTTCATTGTTGAAGAAATCACTGAGAATAAGACGCCCAATGCTTTGAGCAATTAATCCCGCTGGCAAGCTCTTGAGAATTGATCGGGTTATTTGGCAGGTTTTTGTCAATTATTTCGTAGCCAATGGCGAATGTGACAATGTGAACGATGCAAAGCGAAAACTATTACGAAGCGGGACAGCAGGGAAAATGAGATGAGGGAAATGAGGCGGAAGCGCGGGAATAAGCGAAAGACGATCGTGATGGATCTCGCGAGAAGATACAGAGGAAGAAACGGCTAGCATCTCAGAAGAGATCGAGATGGAGAAAGAGAAGGAAAAGTGGTAGGGTGGGGGGAGGGGGGGGGAATGCAATTTCGTAATAGCTCTGGGATAGAGAGGAGTAGGATAATAAAGAAGGAATGGTTCGGAAGAGGAAGAGATTAGGATGAAGTCATGTGGTAGATCAACCGCGCGGAAGAGAACGCGCTGGCTCTCTCGGTTAGCTTGGCCGATGGGCGAGAATAATCCCCGGCGCTTTTGTATATAAAACACACAGATACGGAAAATGTACACGAACAAACATTACCCAATAGACGTAAGCAGCGTGAGATGAGGGAAGGAAACTCTTTTAGGGAGGAAAACGCGTGTGTATAGAGAATAAAGTTGTATCATACGAAAGTGAACGTTTAACGATTGTGGTTAATAAATAACGATAATAATAAAGGCGACGTTATATTGTACAGCAGCAGCGGTCGCTGTGTCTTTCTCTCTATCCCATGATATTATATTTTCTTCATTCATTCGCATGTACATTCATTTATCGCAATCGTAATCGCATGTTATTCGCTTTTGCTGTTATAACTATGTGGCCGTATCCTGTCCTTTAATCGTTTCGTCGAACATGCAAGTGACTTCTTTTTACTTTTGTTATAGAATATATCCTTATTATTGTAGAATATATTCGCATACAGCGAGAACGTCACCGCGTGAACGTGATTATCGAAGTTGGAGGCTTAATAAATTTCAATAACCCGCTAATTTCTAAGCCTCAGTCTCTTCTCAGTCGCAGAATCCTCTTCTCAGTGTCTTTCTTTTTCTCTCTCTTTCTCTCTCTCTCTCTCCCTCTCTCTCTCTCTCTCTCTCTCTCTCTCTCTCTCTCTCTCTCTCCTCCCGAAGTTAGGCGTTATAAATTTCTTCGTCGACGTGCGTCAAGAGTAAAGTTTCTACGATGCTTGCAAAAGTTTATTTGCGCTCGAGCATCGGGACTAACAGCGATCCAAAAATTCAAGCATTCTGACAAATTATCCGGACAAAACTGAGTTGAACCCCAGCTGAACTGGCCCGAAATTCATACCAAGGCCTGTGAGACCACGTTTCATCTTTAATTAATTATCCACCGCGGAGTAAGGTAACTTTCGCAGGATGCTCTTCCGTCTCGCGAGACGAAGGTAAGTGGATTCTATTTTACCAATTTGCGGAATAATTTAAACGTGACAAATTGATCCCCGCCATTGCTGTTGATCATCTCCGAGGCACACTATTTTTCATCGCGAGACGCTCGATATGTCTCAGGCTTTCGTGCACGGTGACATGATCGCGATTTAATTCACGATCGAGGTGAGAATGAACTTGCGAGCAGCGGCTGCATGCGATGTACAGCTTAACGAGGTCACTGAGTATGTAATTTGACTCAATGCGCGGCCAATAATTTGCCGCTCGCTCTTTGAATGCGAGTGTGAATAACGTAATTACATCGCTTAAATGATTATGCGGAAATTCATCCTCCTAGCAACACTGCGGCAAAGAAGGTTGACTTGTGTATATGTCGCGTGTAAACTAATTATAATTACGAATCCGAAACAATTTGATTTTATAATATATCGGCTCGCTCAATAAGTGATATTGGATTTTTCGGACAAAGTGAAACGATTATATAATATATGTATTTGTGTGGAAGAATATATACGCGAATGGTGGTAAATCACAAATGAACATTGGATAGTTGCATTGCATAGTTTCATAAAATGATAATAAGATATAATAACAAAGATATAATAGCTTTATCTTTCATCTGAAAGATCCGAAATTACTTAATTACTTAACGAAATTATTAATTAGTATATAACCCAATATTCATATAATTGTACGAAACGAAACGACAAATCGTAGGACTTCTCGTGAGTTTTGCTTATTTAATATAGAAATATCGAATCTTCCGAATCCTTCCGAATTTTTATCCGATTCGGTGAAGATACCTTTTTGTATTTTTCGCAGAGTGTACGCTCCAATCATTGTTCACTGATCACTGCTCCATCCTCCCTCCCCTCCCCCTCCGGTTTGTTGCTTCGAATATGTGAACGATTTCCCAGTCAAACGTTCCCGCAACGATACCGTGCTCGCGTGTGGCGAACCTAAACGAACGCAACGAATTTCAAGCACCGGAGATCGGCGGAGAATGTGCTGAGTAGCTGGCTCATCGTACTGAGAGTAGGTAAGAGGATGCAGCGAGATATGCTTACCGAGCTTAAAGTCCTTTGAGGGTTGAGAAGAAGGGCGAATAAAGAAGATGGAGGAAGAAGGGAGAAGAGCCAAGCCACATGGCGTTCTCTCGATTGAAGAGGCAGTAGCTGAGGGGAGAGGAGAGAGTCCTCTCCTGCACTCTTTTATGGAAATTAAGGACGTGATTTCGGATTCCCACGAGTACAAGTTTCATCCCCCGCGCCACCCTCCCACGCGTGCTCGCCCGCTCTCTTTTTGTCGAACTCTCTAAGGCCTCTTCGTGACGGCGCGTGCGCGCGGCACATTCCTGTTTCTAGACGTTCGCTGCGCTAAAAGGCGCGAATACGTATTGCATTGCGTGCTATGTAATATTGCGGTGACGTTGCAAAATCAGTGTGTCCACGCAGATTTACGGTGATATATTTCATACATCTAATACGTACGCGGATTGTGTGCGTCGTTGCGCTACCAAGGATATCGCTACTCCGCTTCGTCGTTCCTCGGATTCTTTGATCGTTCGGATTGACTTCCCATGATGAAAATTCGATACGGATCCTTCCTCTTCGTTCTAAACTACGACATGCTTCCGAAAACTTATTCCTTGGACATATTTACGTGGTATACGGTAAATTTCGGGGTCGGAGGGATAAAATAGGGAACGTGGAGGAAAAGGGAAAAGCAGCGTTCGTATCGCCACTGTTTGTTCTAATCTTATTAGCACGCGAGGCCCGATATTGATTTAAATTGTTTCATACTAACAAAAGTTTCATAAAACTGTACATAAAAGTACTCTCTCTCTCTCTCTCTCTGGACACAGATACATACAAATATATATATATACACACGAGCGAGATATATTTATCTACCAGTATTTATCTACCAGTCTTCTATGTTCCGCGTTACGGGGGAAATGTGCGTATTTGCGCGCGTGTGTTTTGCATAGCCTGCATTCGATTCGAAGGATAGAGAACTCGGGCAAAACACACCGGATCTAAATATGAACCAATTTCCTTGAAGCTCAGAGCGCGGCATGTTGATGAGACGCGTATCGAACACGCGTACAGTGCCAATTTAATCAGACATTTTCTTCCGTTCAATATGAAACGCCGGCCGTTGTACCGACGTTCAACGATGGTTCGCGCAACGGAATGGAAGTTAGGAAATAATAACCGAAAGTTGAATACAAGTTCATTTGCCTGCAAACCGTTTTAACGCGCATGCAATGGCGATTGCAGCATTCCCGCGATCGTTGTTTCTCGAATGCGGAGCGGCTTGAAATTACTACTCCCGCTTTTAAATACGTGCAAGTATATTTACGTGTACGCCATTAATAACCATTGAATAGAGAGACTTCCGGAAAGGAAATGTGAGTATCGTGCTGCTGCTGTGAGATTCCTTCCAATTGCGCGCTCTCTGATTGATCAGAGCGACACGCACGTCTTCGTCTTTTCGGAATTTCCGAGCAAGAAGCTGCATAAATTAAGAGCATATATTTATTAAGACGAAATCGACCTCTTCCTCCCTAACCCTCCCGTCCCCCTCGATTCGATGGGTAGTCCTCGCGTCGCATCTCCGAGAGTGCGGTAGTATCGCGGATCAATTCGCCGTAAACGGAAGACTAATTTGCGGCGGAAACGCGAAGATAGAAAGATGAAAGATATCTCAGATAGTTGGCTGTTGTGTAGAAAGGGTAGGGGGTAGATGGCCCGAAAAAAGATAACTGGTGGAGGTAGCGGCGATAGTTAAAACTTATCGTCACTTTCCTTTATGTTTGCCGCCAATAAATGAGACCAGGAACGACGTGAGAAGAGAGAAACGAAGACGAAGGAAAATCGGGAAACTATCTCGACCGTAGGTCGACCACGTGCAGGTGGCTAGCGGCTTCAGGAGTGTAGGAGGGGGGCGGGGGGGGGGAGGTGGCGGATGGAGGCAGCGGCGGCGGGCGTAAAAGAGGCTCGATCATGACTCCACAGCGCAGCGAGGAATTATGGATACCATTATACGAGAAAGATTAGAGATCCTCGTAATATTTTTATTACCTACACACACACACACACACACACGTACGTACGTACACGGTAGTCCACATCGTGGAGATGGTCTTCACACAGACGCGCTCGCGCACCGACGCGACACAAATTGCCGAGGAGTAGATCGCGTCTGAGAGATCGTAGCGCGGCTGCTAGTATCACATTAAGAAGAGATCACCGACGCTGAAAGATCGGCCAGGAATCATGACAAAGTCGACGGGGACAAAAATTTAGTCCCACGTATTATTTTGCTGCAGAGAAATATCCGTTTCGCGGATAATTCGTTCAAATTCGAGCTAATTTTAAGCGAAGATT